CATGGCAGGTACACCTTTAGTACTAAAATTTAAGAACTGTATTAAACAGACCAGGATAACGTTTCAGAAATAGTCACTCTGTATAACTTTGTTAACTCATTCACACAATTAAGTTGCAGTGTTTGCCCAGAGACAACAGGTACACTTGGTCATGACCCATTTAGGCAAATTATTTTTCAGAAATGCTTTGGTAGACACATCACTGGATGCAAAGTGGTACCCTGATGAACAACTTTTTGAAAACCCAACACTGAATTTAAATACTATTCTTGAGATAACTGCTATTTGATAAGGGAAATGGAAACCTTCTCTGATGGGACCTAGCTAAAGTGAATGCTGAGGTCACATTTCATTCCACTATCAATTCCAAAAGCGCTCAGTATATTGCAATGGTCAAGTGCAGTTTTGCTCTAAACCCCATAATTACAAAAACAAGTTTCAGCTTAAAATAACTACCCTATTTTATGAAACTGTTCTTTACATCAGCTTAAGCAAATGACTTCACTGTAGAAAGGTCCCAGCAGTAAACGTAAGCTAGCCAGAAATACTAACTCTCTCGTTCTACCTTACACAGCACTCTCCTGCAGAGGACGTTGCTTTGAAGCCTTTGAAAGAGGAAGAGAGTGTGACTGTGACATAGACTGTGAACGATATGGCAAGTGTTGCCCAGACTATGCGAAACACTGTAAAGAGGGTAAGAAATTTCTTTATCACTATATTTTTCCTAGATATATGTAAACAGAGATGCTTTGCATTATCATAAAACAAGGGCACAAGTAATTAGCTACTAAACAAAAACCAAACCAAAAATAAAACCTAATTTCAACAATAAATTGACCATTTTCTCAAGCATGAACACTTTATGGATGCATACAGGTGGATATACTGCAAGCCATCACCAAGATACAAAATCTGAGGGTAAAGTTTTATTATGCCTTAGTCTCTTTTGACACTAGCTATACTCTAATTTACTATCAGGAGTGTCATGTGTAAGGCCAGGTTTTGCATGTGCACTTCCACTCATGCTACTGAAGTTACATCAGTAGTGTAATTCAAGGAGAGAACCTGAGGGGAATGAATGACAAATGGCAGTAAAAAGTCTAGTTCATCTTTAAAGAAAAAAAAAAAAAAGTATTAACAAAGGAAACTCCAACTCCCTTAAATTCCTCATGCAACCTAACGTGAAGAATATCTACTCATTGCCTTGGGATAGCACTACCTGAACCTCCAGACCACTTGCTTTGGGTTACTGCAGTCGCTGGCAGCATATAGAGAAATCCTCCCGACCTCAAACCCAACATGGGAAGAGCAGCCCAGCACAGAAACACAGCCCTGGGACAAGAGGGAGGAACTGTAGGATTTGCCTGGTTAGCAGCAGTTGGACATTAACACCACGTCAAAAGGAATTTCAATGCACATTTAACCTTTAGGCTGCAAATTCCATTCAGAGGAGGATTGCTCTGACCCATAATCACTTCTAATTATTCTGTCCTTCACTGCAGACTCTGGTGGGTTTTTGGTAGCTGAGCACTAAAGCGCAGATCTAGAGGAGCAGTTTCACTTCATGTAGCTTTAATGACACTAGCAATTGAATTCCAGTCTAGAAAATACCAACCGAGTATGTTTCATTTCATCATGTCCTTAAAGTTTCTGCTACTTACGGACCTAAATTCATCTGCGTGAACACACTTGGCAAACATGGCCTGGCACCAGGTTGTTGACCAGACAACCTCCAAAGCAGCCAATTTCCAAAGCGTGCACTTTAACAAACAAGATGTTACAGATTATCAGTTGTTCACTTTACCAACCACTTCCTGTCTCCATGTGCTGGTACAGTTTCTTGGTTCTGATACTCTGCTGCATAGTAATTTATACTGAAATAAACTCTGTGTCCAGCATTTTTTCACTGTATGTCTAGAAGAGGGTAAGTGTCTTAGAAGTATCTTGCAGTGACTTTGCTGACTTTGAGATATCTCACTCTTGCTGCTGGAGCTTAACATGCATGAACACTCACAAACAATAGCTGTTTCACTTGTTCTTCAGTTCAAATAAAATGAAAAGTTAACCAACTGCTCATAACCTTAGAGAGATATTGTAGTATTTTAGTTACTTAGCTACTTTAGTTACTTAATTTTTGCCAAAAAAACCCAAGAAAACCAACCAACCAACCAAACAAAAATCCCCAAAACACAGCCTACCCCTGTACTCAGTATTTTAGTATTTTTGCTATGTGTGAGTAGCAAAACTGAGAAACCTGTTAAACCTTTTGGAATAATGAAATAACTTAATGCCATGCAGTGAACCTTCATTTTGTTGCTTCTTCATTTTCTGAACAGTTTGCTCTGTACAGCCGAGCGAAGTTCACAATGTTTATATTTCATATCCTCCAGAAGCCCTTTATCCCCTGAATACACATGCACACACAGTTAAGGACCGATCAAACGTTCTCTTGAACCCTCTTGGAAGCAGACTCAGCTCCCAGAGTTATTTTATTTGATTTCCCTCTCTCAATAAAAGCTTCAGGATATAGCCCAACCTTACTCACTCTGAGTACTAGGTGCTATAAGAAATTTGATACCATGGTCATCACCTTATGATACAAAGGTACTACTCCTTTTGTAAAAACCCGATTACACATACCTATGGCAGCTACCAGCTCCTTTAGTTTGATCAAAAAGATCCTGCAGGTACTCTGAGACCCATCATGCTTTTTTCACAACCAACAATCTCCTTCTACAAGGTTGTGTTAGTGGGAAGAGAGAGTCTCACTTCCAATCAACCCAACAATAAATAAAAAATATTTTCTGGCTCTTACTGAATGCAAGTGAAATTCCATGCAATCTTCAGAGTTGGAAAATCTGAACACAAACATCCAGTTTCTCCTAAAACTCAAGCTACTAGAAGTCAGTTTAATATCTAGACCTTGCACTGTTTCTTTGGTCCATGCCTACTTCGTAGCTTCTGTCTCTTTCAAGGAAACAGTAGCTTTTAAGATGTCTCTCTCAAATGATCAATTATGTGCAGAATTAACACGTCTGAAGAACTACAATATAACTAAATCTTCAGGGGTTTATCAAAGTAAATGCTTGGCTAATATGGCAGTTCTCAGAGATACACTATAGTGAGTTAGCCCCAAGACATCTGTTGTCAAAAAAATAAGGTGACAAAAGAAATTTTTCTAAGAATGTAGAGCTCCACTTGGAATTCATCTATTTCTCATCTCAAATTTCATGTTAACAAAGAATGACTCATCTCAAACTTGCAGGAAAAATATTTCTCCTGTTTGTGGAGATTCAAGGATCCAAAGGGCATTTTTCCTCTTTTTCTTCTGAATAGTAGTTTAAAAAATCCTATAGATATGAAGAAACTTGGATTTATAAGGAAGATAGAGAAATTTTGCAATCACTTTCTTCTTACAGATTTGACACCAAGCACCTATTAAAAAAAACTGCTCCTATTAACAGATTATTTCTTTCAGCACATACAGAAAAGTCATCACCTCAGACTCCTCCACCAAACAAATCAACATCTAAAAGGTCATCCACAAACGAGGAGAAAAAGCCAGAGGAAGTAACACAGCCCCATGAAGTTATGGAAGGTAGGAAAGCATACGAATGAAACAGGATGGGTGTTACCTGAAGGAACTTTAAAGGCCATTTTCCTGCTCTGGAAATAGAAAGACGATGTAAGACATTACCAGACAGTTACCAAGCTTGGAACCGCTCGGTTTATAAACTAATTACCTCACCTAGACTTTAGGATACTGACTTTGGAGAGTTCACTTCACACAGATGTTGGACTGTGGTGATGTCTCCTGTGTCTCTATTGGATTTTCACACACATCTTCCTAAAAATATGTTATATGCTGTTGTCAGTTTTGGACCAAGTCCACAGCTGGAACAGGAAGGGTGTTGTATTTTGTGACAGTGATGAATTGGCAGGACCTTGTCTCCTAGTATGTTTCTCTAGCTTTAATCATGTCGCTTCAGAAAACACATATGATTTATTATAACTTAGGAGATCAGTTTGAACTTTAAACCTGAAGTAACAAGTATGAAGTGAGACTAGAAGACAATTTTGGTCAATATTTTAATCTTTAGGTTTTGTGTGGGGTTTTTTGTTTGTTTGTTTGTTTTTTTCTAAGTTGGAGTACTTACCTTTCTGCTGTGGCAATTTCCTATTACAAAAATCAATATATCGCATCAAATGAAACAAAGTTAAGGGAATTCATATAGCTATTAATAGGATCCCACTTGGCTTATGGTATTTCAGCTACACTGGGTGGGAGGAAAACCTGTTCTGTAACGCTCTGCCCATACCACACTGCTGCTACAATACTTTTGCACAGGGATTATTTCTGACAGTGCAGTATTAAAACTTCTTCCAGTCTGCTGGGAGACACATTGCATCAATGCTGCTAACAGTCGTCAGGCCGTGACCATCAGCAACAGCTCAGACGTTTTTAGATTTTTAAATTTGTTCAAAAGCTGAATGACATGGCCCCAAACCACATGATGCTGCACTTGGTTTTTTCAGATATTCAAGAAAAAAATGTCAATTCAATTGTAATGATAGACAGCAACACAGCAGGAAGCATAGAAAAAAAACCCTATATGAAATCAAAACTAAATGGCAAAACATCACAGAGATAACACTTGAGATTAAAATGCAGAATCAATTACTGGTTTTGCTCAGCATAGCTACACTAACAATTGTACTTCAGTCAGTGTAGTTAGATACACAAATAAATGGAGTCTTAGAGCTATAAATAAAAAAGAGGAAAAACACCCAATATACAGACAGTAGGAGATGCAGTCAAGTGTCTGTATGCAAGAATTTTGTTTGCCTATTTCCCTAACCCTTTCCTTCAAGTCGAGGTGATTGGCACAGGCTATGGTATAATTAAGGCCAGAGGAACAAATAAAAGAATAGACCAAGAATAGAAGCGCCCCAATGGAAGGGCTGTACTTTACAGTGTGGGTCCCCTTCCATGAGAAAGGATGGGAACACCAGGTGGCCTCACCTACAAACACCAACCTGAAATCGGCCATGCTGCACTCAGAGTTTCGGCAGGTTAGCCAAAAGGATTACTTCAACCTTAGCTAAGCTGCTGCAAAGCCCCATGCAGACAAAAGGAATTCACACTTCACACAGTCCAGGTTGATTTGGGTCTTCTAAATTTTGTATCTTTGGACAGTTACTTAAGTCCATAAACTGGCATTTATGAATTTAACTAAGGTGTCCACATATCCCTTTTTTTTTTTTTTTTTGCCAGCTTAAATGAATGTTTCAACCACTTTAAAGCTAATCAAATGCAATTATACACAGAAAACTTTTAGAGCAAAGACCACAAAAACAACTATTGCTGTAGATAAGTAGCTATTTCTAACCAGTATAATGAATTGATGTGCAATAGGTGGATGCCCTCCAATTCCAATGTCTTAATATATGTTTGTTCTCATAGATAATGACAGTGGACTGGAAAACAAAGTGACAAGTCCAGCTCCAATGACAAAACACCCTGATACAACCACAACAATTGAAGTAACTACATCTAGTCCAAAAACAACTTTAGCACCTACTACAAGTAGTACCACAAAAGCAACTACAACCAAAGAGACCACTACGGCTCAGAAAGATATGCCTGTGACAACAGCAGCACCAAAGACCATGGCAGAGTCTCCCACCACGCCTAAGGTAGAAGATATGACCCCTGAGGCCACAGACGAAACAATAACCGAGCCAGATGGTCCCACCACTCTGGGACCTGAACACACAACACCAGAGGCCACAGAGGCACTGACAAGTGAGGCAGACAATCCCACAACACCTAAGGCTGAAGATATGACCCCAGATGCCACAGAAGAACTACTGACTGAAGCAGATGACCCCAGCACCATCAAACCTGAAGACACAACCCCAGAGGCCACAGAGGTACCAACGACCAAGGCACATTCTCCCACCGCTCCCAAGCCTGAAGACACAACCCCAGAGGCCACAGAGGCACCAATAACTGAGGCAGACTCTCCCACCACCCCCAAACGTGAAGACACAACTCCAGAGGCAACAACGACCAAGGCAGACTCTCCCACCACTCCCAAACCTGAAGACACAACTCCAGAGGCACCAACAACCGAGGCAGACTCTCCCACCACTCCCAAACCTGAAGACACAACTCCAGAGGCACCAACCACCAAGGCAGACTCTCCTACCACCCTGAAACCTGAAGAGACAACCCCAGAGGCCACAGAGGCACCAACGACCAAGGCACATTCTCCCACCGCTCCCAAGCCTGAAGACACAACCCCAGAGGCACCAACGACCGAGGCAGACTCTCCCACCACTCCCAAACCTGAAGACACAACTCCAGAGGCACCAACGACCAAGGAAGGCTCTCCCACCAACCCCAAACCTGAAGACACAACTCCA